AAAAACAACCTGGCAGCTTTTATCTCCCATACTTCTAAACTAATAAAAAAAGTCTTGACTTTGTTTCTTTTCAAAGTGGACCTATTCTTAAATGTTAATCTAAAGCTATAATAACAGCCCTGCTGAAGCAAGCACATACAAAAATGAGGACTAAAAGTGTGTATCTCTCCGGGAGAAAATCTTGCTCAAAATTCTCTCCACTGCTGGTCACATATCCAAGAGCAAATCCTAAGCCTTTGGTCACATGATATAAGACAATTGGGAGAAAAAGCCAGTTGGAACTCACAAGACAAAATTCCTAGACCTTCCTCAGGGATGGTAAGTGTTGTACCCCTTTTGTTACTCTTACCCTAGAAACACTGCTAACATAGCTTAATGTCAACATTAGACTGTAGGTCCATTTTAATCATATTGTATAGCCCTGTCATAACCATCTGATATAGTATGAATTATACTGTATTTTGACCAATAATAATAACTTGGAATGGAGTACACAGTTGAGCTGTTCTTTTAATCATATGAACTGATAATTATAATTGTATTTGTAATGTTCGAGAAAGACATCACGTCCATCAAATCAAGTGTTCACTTACTGCTTAATCCCAGTTCTCTTGACTATTAAGACAGAAGCCAATGAAACCTCATTAAATTACTTTTCAATTTTTGCCACAAATGAGAAAAACATATTTGCTGACTGTAAAATGTCAATTAGATTTCACCCTATATCGGCAATCCAGAATGGCAATAACTTCCATATCTATTAGGGTTGTACGGTCAGCTGCTTCAGATAGAATACAAATGAATAGATGTGCTGTTTATATGCATATAAATAACTTAAAGCAAATGAATGCCAACAGATCTGTATAGAGAAAGACATAAACATAGCTCTTTTTAACCATGTCAGCCCATCCCTACTTCAACTGTTCCCTGAATTGTACTTCTCCAGTGGTCACTTTACCAGCTTGTCAAGCCATGTGAAAATCCCTACATGAGGTGCAATCATTATTTCTCCCAAACAGTATAACACAGGCAAAATGCAAGGTGGAAATGGACTTTAAGTTTCTTCTAGAAGTCTTGCCTAAACTTTTTCTTTTTACTTTTCAATAGATTAGGTTAGATGTCCAGTCTTTACTGTTGTCTGTGCTGACATTTAGGATCTTACCTTTTACATCCTGTCTTGTTGACTGATGCCACCTGGGACAGGAAGTGAGGCAACAGACAGCTAAAAACAACCTGGCAGCTTTTATCTCCCATACTTCTAAACTAATAAAAAAAGTCTTGACTTTGTTTCTTTTCAAAGTGGACCTATTCTTAAATGTTAATCTAAAGCTATAATAACAGCCCTGCTGAAGCAAGCACATACAAAAATGAGGACTAAAAGTGTGTATCTCTCCGGGAGAAAATCTTGCTCAAAATTCTCTCCACTGCTGGTCACATATCCAAGAGCAAATCCTAAGCCTTTGGTCACATGATATAAGACAATTGGGAGAAAAAGCCAGTTGGAACTCACAAGACAAAATTCCTAGACCTTCCTCAGGGATGGTAAGTGTTGTACCCCTTTTGTTACTCTTACCCTAGAAACACTGCTAACATAGCTTAATGTCAACATTAGACTGTAGGTCCATTTTAATCATATTGTATAGCCCTGTCATAACCATCTGATATAGTATGAATTATACTGTATTTTGACCAATAATAATAACTTGGAATGGAGTACACAGTTGAGCTGTTCTTTTAATCATATGAACTGATAATTATAATTGTATTTGTAATGTTCGAGAAAGACATCACGTCCATCAAATCAAGTGTTCACTTACTGCTTAATCCCAGTTCTCTTGACTATTAAGACAGAAGCCAATGAAACCTCATTAAATTACTTTTCAATTTTTGCCACAAATGAGAAAAACATATTTGCTGACTGTAAAATGTCAATTAGATTTCACCCTATATCGGCAATCCAGAATGGCAATAACTTCCATATCTATTAGGGTTGTACGGTCAGCTGCTTCAGATAGAATACAAATGAATAGATGTGCTGTTTATATGCATATAAATAACTTAAAGCAAATGAATGCCAACAGATCTGTATAGAGAAAGACATAAACATAGCTCTTTTTAACCATGTCAGCCCATCCCTACTTCAACTGTTCCCTGAATTGTACTTCTCCAGTGGTCACTTTACCAGCTTGTCAAGCCATGTGAAAATCCCTACATGAGGTGCAATCATTATTTCTCCCAAACAGTATAACACAGGCAAAATGCCAGTTAAAGAGGGTCTGAACTCTGGAAGCTAAACCCAAAATGAGACAAGCAGAGGACAAAAAAAAACAGTCATCTGTAGTATTGCCTGTAGGCTTCCTGCAACTGATCCTTTCCCCAATATTGACACAGTGCTTGTACTGAACTATGTTTCTTTGTAGAGGCAAACATCTCAGTAGAGGAACACAGCTTCTTTTTTTTATGCAAAAGATAACTGGTGATCTGGAAACTGGAGGGGGAG